CCAGTGAAACTGGAAAAGTGGGTCTTCTTCTCGACCAGAGATTTTATAGTCTTGACCAGTTAATCTTAAGCCTTTTGCTATTCTAACACTGGCCTCTTCAGAACAGGGGTCAGAAAAAGGGAGCGCCAAACAACCTGCCCTGGGTCCAGATGAAAATAAGAAAGGCAGCTTTCCAGAATTGACCAGAGCAAACCAAAAATGAGTTACTGGTCACTCTTCATTAAAGAACAAGACAGGGCTGGGGATGTAACTCCATGGTAACCCCGTGCACTGTGCAAGCTATGGGAATGCAGTGAGGAGTGAGACTTAGTCCCTTTCCGCAAGGAGCACACATCTTGCTTGGGAGACAGCGATTGTACACAACATGTAAACAGCACATGGTACCTAGCAGATGCTATGTTGTATCACAACATCTATGGGAAGATAGAGGAGAGGAAGGTCAAGACAGTCCATGTTTGCCACAGGGCTTACATAGTGGAGCGCCCATCAGCATTATTTTCTTACATGAAACGTGACATGGGCCACTAAGTTTTTAGTTAAATTGGAGGTAGAGAGGACGGTGTAGCAAGCTGTCCACTCAGCTCCATCTGTGCTTTGAGCCGCTATGTTTGCTCTTCCCAGTATGGTTGCAGATCCATCCTGGTTGTCACTGAGGACATATGTTTTGCCTTGGAAAGGCCTGGAACTAGAAGGCCTGTTAGAAGTAGATCAAGTAGGTGACTTTGTCTCCCCAGTGTTGGCCACAAACTGGATGAGCTAGACTTTTCTGTTGAGTAAGATGACTAAGGATAACACTCAGTTGGGCAGGGGCTCAGGTGAGACCTGGTCTGCCTTCATGAGAATAGTCATTTGTTGGTCTTGTTGGCTCAGGGCCACACTATGTGGTCAGGGGAGGGTACTACCTGTGGACAGTTTCTTACGAAGGGAAAATGTCTGTTCTAGGAATTGTTAGTACAGAGATCTCAGATGGAAAGCCTGTAGATTCTGGACAGATCTTATTGAGTTACCTAGGTAGGGCTGTGGGATAGATATTCCGGGGCTGGCTGAGAATACACTCTGGGGGGTCAGGCCTTGTACTGCTATTAAACCACTGAACCTTATTCAATGTTTATGCTGTGATCAAATCATTTTGTGTGTGTGGGTTTAGTTAATTTTCACCTCTCTTACATATTAGGTGTTCTTTTCACTCTTATTTTACTAATGAGAAAAATCAAGGCATTAGAGAGGCTATGCCAGTAATTAGTAGGAGAGTGAGTAGTCAAACCGGGGTAGTCTGGCTCACCGAAAATGCACCTAAATGTTTTCTGTACTTTCACGCCAGTTTCATGACAGAAGGGTCACCCAGTATCCCACAACTGGCACTGCTGCTGACCAGTTGCAGAGCAGTGTATGTGCATCAGTGTGTGTGTTCTGTTCACAGCTGTGTATTTTTACCGCCCCTGCACCTTCGTGCAGGCAAGTGTAAGATGGAGCAGGCTGCTTTGCTGACCAACAACATAGGGAATACCCTATGGAGCTGCTCCTGACATGACCTGACATGCTGCCAGTCTAGCTCAGACTGTTGAGCTGGCTTCCTAGCACCAGGTCCTAGTATTCTAGGCACAGGGGGATTCTCCAGACCCAGGTCTGCAACCAAGATTGGAATGTGCTGGCTTTCATTCTTGAGCTACGTAGGCCCAGAGCCCTCTTGTCTGTGGCCTTAGACATGCTCTTTAGAAAGGGGATGTCCCTGGTTGAGCTGCTGCCTAGCAAGGGGAAGCTAGGAGAGAGGGATCCCCTAAGGGCACTTGTGACTTGTGTACAATCAGCTCATGATGCCTGAGCCCAGTTCCTGAAGACCAGTGTTTTCACCACCATGTCACCTCTCCTACTCAGACTGTTTGATGCCAGCAAGGGCAGTTAACTGAGCCTACTCACTCTGTTGGGCTACCTGTTCCTGTCCCTGACCCCTCACTTTCAGCAGAAGTTTTGATTTTGGAGTGTGTGGCAGATCTAAGTTGGAAGTTTGGGGAGGGGGGAAGCAGAGAATGGACGAAGTTTCAGATTATCGGTGGGTTTTCATTAACTGCTGTCTGTCTCTCATTATAAGGGCTGAGTAAGATTTGTTTCATAAGGGATTAGGGTGCCTGTACCATTCTGAAAGTAGAAATTTAGTTTTTCTTAGAATCAGGTGTAAGAAAAATAAACCCAACAAATCCAAAGGAAAAAAACCCAACAGAAAATGGCATTCTCTTCAAACTTAAAGCCTGTAGGAAAAAAATTTAAAAATCCTCTTTCAAAGGGCCAAGCAGCAGGCCTCCTGTTTAAGCCTTGACGCTGTAACAGGCTGGCTCCCTCTCAGCTACCACTTTGAAATCAGACCCCTCTCATCTGGAATGATCAAATGCCTTCTCTGGCTGTCTCATTCTGTGGTCCTGAATAGCACTGCTATTGTCCTGCAGCATGTACGGTTTTAGTGTCACATCATCTGGCACAGCGCTAATGCACACCAGCACTATGATGCACACCAGCACTATGATGCACACCAGCATTATCCCACATTGTCTCGGGCCTTCCTTTCCTTTTGTCCCCGTCTGCACCTAAAGAGATCACATATTCGGTGGGCAGAGGGGTTTTCTAGGTTAGGGTGCATCCAGGCGCTTTCTAGTGGTCTTTGGAGGTTGAGGGATTGCTGTTTGGCCTCCCCTAGCACCTGGCTAGAGATTAGCCATGCTCACCAGTAAGATGGTTGGTATTCCAGCTCGGAAGAACTCCCCTACTCCATTTTGTTTCCAAAGTCAATTTATTGAATATTATGTCATAAAGCCAGTGATAGAATTTTAATGAAAAATATCCTGTATCACTCTCAAGACTTAAAAGAACAAAAACCCCTTAGAAACACTGCTTTGAAAAATAATCACGTTAACTTTACACACGAGTCCTTTCTTAAGCTTTATTTAAGAAATCGAGTACTATATAGTTCAATATATATAAGACACATCCAGTATTGTGTTCCTGATAGCAAGTGCATAGATTTTGTTAAGATATCATTTTCACTCGATATAAACGTTTCACGGTCACATGAAGGTAATATTCCCAGTGATTCTGCCCAAGCATGAGAGAGAACAGAACACAGCAAAAATAGTGAACTACAACAGAAATGATAAACAAAAACAGTGAATTAGCAGAACAGTCGATTCCTGATAAGTGAATAAGCTGATTGTTTGGCCACAATGTTTTATTCACTTATCAGGAACGATTCATGGTCCGTTTATGTTCACTGCGTTTCCTAGCGTGCTAGCTATGCATCAGAGCCCACAGGTCATACCCCACTGGTATGGGCCGGCAGGTGTGTGGCTCCCATCAGCCAGGAAATATTGAAATTCCTTTGGTGGTTTGTGCATGGCCAACAGACAGAGCTTGCTCACATGCATTGGAGTTGTAGAAAATCAAAACTCTAAGTATGAATTGAAGCAGAGACCAGCTTTATAGTCACAAGTGCTGAAAGAACAAGCAGTCTCACCTTTGGAGAAACGCACTGTCTTTCCCTTTCTGTGTTTAGCGTGGATATGATGCCTTATGCTGAATGGTGGTCAGATTTACTTCTGTACTTCAGAAAGAAACACATGTATCTTGGAAAGAATTTGATCATCCCTGTTCCCCAATCTTCCCTCCCTTAAGCCTCCCACTCCCCCAGAAAGGAAAAGAAATCACACTTTCAGCCATCTTTCTCCACTAAGGGAAGCGGTGGCCTTTCCAAGGCAAACGGACCATGCCATGAGAGAGCAGAGGTGCTGCTAGGAGTCAGTCCCACCAGTGTAGGCAGAAGAAAGCCATTACCACTGAGGTGTTCATCTGGGCAGAAGCCACCTTTCCTATACTTTGGTAGGTCCGTGCTCGTTGACCTGACTGAAAAAATGCAATCTGGAGGGCCTGAGGGGCAGTTGAAACCAGAGAGCGGATGGGACTGCCTGAGCACCTGTGGGAATCTCACTGGCACCAGGTGTCAGGCTGCCTGAGGCAGGCAGAGCTTGTGTGTAGTAAAGCTGGAAGGGGTGAGAAGAGAAGGAAGCGAGCATCCACGGAATCTCTAAGAGCACTTAAGAGCAGTCAGATTCCTGAGCATAGCAGGGCAGTAGAGAAGGGGGCCTGTGGCTTACGATGCAGAGGGCACGGGAGGAATAGTTTCTCCTTCGGCTGAGGGGTTGGGTACAGGAGCGCAGCTTGCTCCTGCCTGTGTCCATCCAGGAGGGGGCTGGGGAAAGGGCAGTAATTGTGAGGCCATGAGCAGACCATCCCCCTCCCCCTCCAGAATGAGCAGAACTTCTTGAAAATCTTCCCAAGATTCCTTGAAAATCTGAGCTGGAGCACTTGGAGACCCTTCTGCTTCTGTTACCTTTAATAACTGAAGTTACTCCTGGATTCATTTAACTAGCTTGTAGAAATAAATGACTTTTCTATACGTACCTATTGATTGACGGCAGCACAGAAACCTAAGTTTAACTTTCTTTTTCTATTTCTGTGAACCAGCTAGGTTTATTCTTTTCCTTCCTTGAGAGCTCACCTGTTTTGAAAAGGTGATCAGTTTCTAAGCTTGACTGTAATGACAGGACTTTGACTTGGGGGCAGAGAGAAGAAACCCCAGGTCTGCTGCTTCTCTTCTTCCTAAGGTTTGTAGCAGCAGATTTCACTGAATGTTTAGGGAAAGGAAAGGAAAACGTGTGTGGTCAAAAGACCATAAAGCGCCTTGGCAAGTCCAGCCCGGCAGGCAGGTATTTAGGTGAACCATAGAAAAAGCATTTTTGTCCTGGAAGCAGTGGTTGCAGCAGGCTGTACATGAATCAGAAGTGTCTGCTGTGCAGTTCCCTCTTTCCCCAAATCAGATATTCACTTAGGTGGAATCGACTGTATCTTTTTTACACAACATATAGAAAAAAACAGATACGTGAAACAGTGAGGTGTGTAGATGCATCACCAACACAGAATGAGTACCAACAACACAACACGCAGAGAGACACAAGTATTAGGAAAATGGTTTAATATTGGAGACAGAAGCAAAAAACCGCATCACACAATAACATACATTACAAAAATAAGTCTGACTGTTTCAACTACACGGTTATGTTCACAATGAGGACAAAAGGGTCAGAAAAAACTCTGATCTAAACAGCAAAAAAGCAAACTCCTAAAGTTTAACTAATACATTTATCCACTTAAAGTGACTGAGTACTTCTAAATCTAATTATCTTATTGTGTAACTGCACAATACATAATAAAAAGTGAAACTTACTGCTGTATTTTAAGACAAAATTCTAATGCTAGATATAAGCAAAGGGCAAAAAGAAATCAAGCCAAAGTTTTTAATTCTTAAAGGAAAAGCAACTTTCTTTCTATCAACCAGAAATCAAACTTGAAATCAGTCATTGTCAGGGGCCCACAAGAGTAAGCCACAAAAATTTCCATTATTTTTAATCTCCAGTATAAAAAGTTCCACTGGTACAAAATGCTTAAGTACAATCAGTTGTAGAAATAGGAAAGCCTGCGTATTTTTTTTTTTTTGGCTCAAATTCCATCAAACAACAAAATCCAAATGCATCAATAAACAGAAACAATACTCAAATGGTCTTACAGTTTCCACTAGGTTGCATTAACTTTGGCTTTTCTCAGACAATATTTAAAAACTATTTTGTAATTCTAAACAAAATGATATTATTAATCTACAAACAACAATTCTCACGGCACAAAAAAACACAAATACATTTTTTGTATGACATTATTCAAAAGGTAATGAAAACTACAGTTTTTAACTTTATTTCTTTTTAATTAGCACTTAATATAATAAAAACAGAACAGTAAAATGTTTCCAGAGTAGCACAAGCCAAAGAACTAGAACCCCTATGGTGAAGGAAGGATGAACTTGTTACGCCTTTGGGGACTGCATTTTATCACATTTCTATGACTTAGTTTAAAAAGACTACTCTTACACTTGATTTTGGAAAACGCGGTTTCCCTGTGCTTGGTCTCCTGGCACAGGCCCTTTGCTCCCTTGCAGCTTTTTCCTTTTGATATTGAAAGATAAGAGGACAGTTTGTGTCTGAGAAAGGTTATCTAACAATGAAACACGCAGAAACAAGAAACTCCCACTAAATGTACTGTCTTGGTTGCCTGCAAAATCAGAAACACTCAACTGAAAGTGCCTGCCCTGCCTGAGCCTCCTGGCCACCACACTGTTTTCCTCTGGGGGGGAGGTGGGGCATGCAGGTGGGTTAAGAGGAAGGAGGGCAGTTTGCTTCAGTGGGGAAAAAAAATCCAATTTTTTGGGACTTACGTCATTGATGAATGACTAGAATGAGAATTATGAAATACAACTGGTATTCTCTTATGTTTCTACATGTGTATCTACACACAACCACATAACAGGGACTGAGAAATGTGTGCCATCACTTTTGTTACTAAGCTGAGTGCTGCAGAAAGTACAAAATAGCCCTCAAAGGATGAAGGAAGGCCCCGGCAGTAGTAAACACGTGTGAAGTTAATATAAATCATGTCATCAGAAGTGCATGTGCTATAAGAAGGAAACTTTGTTTTGTTTTTTGCATTATTAGAGGCTAATCCTTTCCATCTCAGGGCTATCCCATCCACAAACACATTCAAGCAAACAGGGTGGGTGTACTAAGTAGGAAAAGGAAGTTGAGACCAGTAGCTTGCAGGGCCTGCTCTCCCGGAAGAGGCTGCAGTGCTGTTGGGACTGTGCATGACGTTAGGGTCTGTCAAGACATCTGTCCACAGAAAGCCAGAGGCAGAGGAATATGGCACTTTAAAAAGTGGCAGCAGGAACTGGTATTGGGTATTTGGTTAGTGACTGTGGGAGAGAATGGAGCTCAGCTCTGTTTCTATGTTCAGTCCCTTTAAATGTGCTCGATTAAAAAAACAAAACACTAGAAAAGAGGCAGGGACTGTGGGCCCCTCACTGCAGACACCGGGCACTCAGGTATCCATTGGGCCCCTCACTGCAGACACCAGGCACTCAGGTGTCCACTAGGCCCCTCACTGCAGACACCGCACACTCAGGTGTCGACTGGGCCCCTCACTGCAGACACCAGGCACTCAGGTGTCCACTAGGCCCCTCACTGCAGACACCGCACACTCAGGTGTCGACTGGGCCCCTCACTGCAGACACCAGGCACTCAGGTGTCCACTAGGCCCCTCACTGCAGACACCGCACACTCAGGTGTCGACTGGGCCCCTCACTGCAGACACCGAGCACTCAGGTGTCCACTAGGCCCTCACTGCAGACACCGCACACTCAGGTGTCCACCGCAGCGAGCAGATCCCTACCACAATGGCTGATTCAGCATTACTTAGGGGTATTTTAAAAACATAAAGCAAAATTCCTCAAAAGACTATGTCACTACAGAAACCATTTAACTGCAGGCATATGAAAATATTCTATACTAGAACATACCATGAAACCCATCTCAAAACGCAAACAGCATTTTAAAGGTTTATTTAGGGGATAAATGTACTTTTTTTTAAACTTCAGAAGGTTTACCCAATCTTTTAAATTTAAACTAAGGACCACAGACCTCAGGAGCGAGGGAAAGAAATGTGGTACAGGCAAAAACAACTCAAAGTGTTTTGCTCTTCAAATTTGTCTTGTAGAGGTTTTTTTTTTTTTTTTTGAGGGAGGGTCTCAATTTAAGGACATGAACTCAGGATAATTTACATGGGGAAAAATCCAAATTAGAAACACTCCAAAACAAACTCAAGTGATGACCATATAAAAAGTTACCAACATTCCAGATAGCTCTGGGTAGAAAGGGTTAGAAGTTCAAAACTTTCTCACCTTAGAGGTTTCCATATATTATGAAGAAAATACCTTGTGAGGTTGCCTTCACAGCATTGATGTGCAGAGTGGTTAAAAAAGTGAGACATGGGCACTTATACAATGTCTTACAAAAAACACCATAGAGAAATAACAAACAATAACAATTTCAGGCAACAAGACCACAGAATAGCAAGTTAACAAACTTTTTAACCTTTTTTTGTTTTTAAATATTAGGGATTTATACAAAACACATAATAAAATACCCATGTTATCAAATTACTTCTCACAAGAAACACACTGAAGCTCTAGGAAGGAAGTACCTTTGGAATTTGGCACTATATATTTTCACTTTTTTTCTTTAAAAGAAAAAAAAAAAAGATCACATTTTGCTGAACACAAACACATCTAAATAGTCCACAATAAAAAAAAGTGACGCCAACACTCACAAGCCAACACAAAGCTTATTCTGGAATAGGATTTTTTTTTTTTTCCTCACATGAAATTTTTTTTTTAAGCAAACAAGTTTTTTTTTTTTGAAATTCTTTTTTGTTTTAAGTAAACCAATTCTAAACTTGTCTTATCAACAAAGAACACTGAGACCTTAAGACTCATGATGAAACCACAACTTAATTCACAGAAGCACCAACGTGACACAGTTACAGTAACCTTTCTCCTGTACATTGGAACAGTATAAAATATAGGTAATTTCATGTGCATTAAACCATGGATTGTCTAACTGTGAGTCAGTTCAGCAAAAGGTGACACAAATAGGTAGCATTTGCCCCAAAACAGGGTAAATATTTTTCTTATACTAATCTACAAAAAGTGGTTCTCTATATATATCTTAATGAGAAAGTGCGCCACCTAAAATGGCCTTATCAAAAAACTTTACACTGCCTGAAAAATGTAAAAACTATTACAGACCTCTAGAGACTTAAAATCAGACAGTTTTTTTTTTTTTTTTTTTCTCAAACTGTTTTTGGAAGTAGTCTGTTAGAAACCAACATTCTGTGTCCCTGGACACATATTGCTATTGTTACCAGTGACCGGGAAGAATGCCAATCCCTGTATAATACTTTCAAGTCTGTTTTATGAAAAGAAAAAAAGAAAGAAACATTTTGCCACAGGTGTTTTTCTATAATTTGTCTAATAATTTCAGTCTTGCATGAATGCAGCAATGTTTTCACATTGACTTCCCAGAATTTATAGCTAGATGAGGTCACATGCAAATTTCAAAGGTCAAACTAGATCAAAGGTCAGTAGGAGAACCAAATGTGATGTGAGGTCAGAAAGACATCAGAAACAATGACGGGACGATGAAACTGTTTTTGAGACGCCACAGGGACATGCTAGGCAAACGATGAACTAACGGGCATGAAGATGTCTACGGAAAAAACAAGGAAGAGTAAAAAGTTACAGAGAATCTGTGCAGCAGCAACAAAATTACTTTCAGGGGTGCAGGAGAAAACTAATGCAAATCTTAGGTCTCCAGGAAGTCTACGAGCCATTCACATAATTTGCATTTCTTACACTCTTTTTCCACAGCACAATGAAACCCCAAGAGAATCCATCTGGAGAGAGAGGGGATGGATTCTGGGTGTTCTGGGGTGAGGGACTAGCAAGGGACAGGGGAAGAGGGTCCAGTTTCAACAAAGGTGACATATGGGGAAGTCAAGACGACCGAACTGTAAACTAGATAATGGAAATTACGAACAAAATAATCAGACGGATACAAACAACGAGAGGGTAAAGCATGAACTTTAGGTCTAGGGTTCAACGGTGAAAAAAAGCCCATTCCTAGAACAATTCCTCTAGAGACTACTTCAGAAGCTTCTAGCTAGACAGAGAACTGCTCTTTAGGTACCCAATAAGTTAACAATAGGCAATAAATAACTTCCATTATTTCTGAGGCAGTAAAAATTTTGTATAAAAATAGAAATGCTTTTTTACAAATAAAATTTACAGGCCTGTGGCTTTCTTTTTTATTTATGTATTATTTATGTATTTATTTATTATTAAATTTATCTTTCAAGAAACATCAAGTATTTTCACTCATTTTTATTTTATTTTTAAACCCTGTAGCTTTAAGAAACAGATCTCTAAATCTTTTTTTACATTAATCCTTTCTAAAAACAAAAATAAAACAATAACAAAATAGACAACCAGTGTAATAATCTGACCAATAAATGTCATGTTTCTTTGAACCCTAAAATAAAATCCTACTTATTAAAACAAGCCGATGTGGTGGAAGGACGTATTGTGGTGTGTTAAGTGCTTCTCCTGGCTTCTCCCTCTGCTAGGCTACCACGTTAACTCTGAAACGTGGGGCCCTCCCGAGGGGCAGGTGGGCAAGGAGGGGCGAAATCTCCAGGCAGTGCTCTTGGGGGCACCAGTGGTTTCAGAGTTAGAATTGCACATTAGCGTGTTTGCCTTTTAAGTTCTCAAGATGTCATTTATTTGTTTATATGTTTCTCTTTTAAAAGCAAAAGAAAAAAAATTTAAAAGGAAAAAAGGAGATTCAAATTGCAAAACAGAGGAGAGTACAGTGGCGGAACTGGAGGAGGGATTTACTCAATAGAAACAAGGTAGCCCGAGTTTTAATTATGGCAAACTGGGTGGGGGTGAGTGGGGGAAATGGAGGCCTTACTGTAAAAATAACCGTCTCTCTTGGTAAAAGTTGGCATGTGGTCCTCCTCTGCCTTCCCTGCGGGAACAGGCCGGCTCGGGGACTTACCCTAAGGAAGCTAACACAAGAGCGGGGCCTGGGCGGGGTCAGTAGGGCTTGCTGTCGTTTTTGGAGCGCTTCAGCTGCACCTTCAAGCGTTTCATGCCGATCTGAAAGCCGTTCATAGCCTGGATCGCAGCTTGGGCAGAGACTGGATTGTCGTAGCTAACGAAACCTGGAAAACAGGAAGGGGAAGGAGGCGGGGAGTCAGGGTGGAGGGCGGAGCAGAGAACCGGGGCGGCGACTCCTGTCCGGGCTCTCAACTGAGCTCTACTAGGTTTAGGTTGAACAATACGTACAGAGCGGCTCCGTGGCACAGCTCTGACGTGTCCACGGCAAGTAGTGAAAAGAACTACTGGGACTGGACATTTTGCATGTACGAAAAAACCCTCCCCAGAAAACTAAAGCTTAGTTGCTCTAGTGAGCTCTGTCTGCCATTCAGTGCTTTCAAGTCACTCCTGCTCCTTCTCTCGGAAGGGATCTTTGGAAGAGAATCAACAGTACTTATGTAAGGAGAGGATTGACTACTCCAGGGCTCACATGTCCCGCCTAGGTGAGGCTTAAAGGCAGGAATACTTAAGGGAAGGCTGGATAACAGTGTGTGCCGCCAAGGTCTTGACTGTCTTTCACTCTAGTTCTCCATATACCGAGGGCATATATTCATACACAGAGCACACACCAGGTTAGGGAGAGGATGAGTCAACCGCCAGATTAACTCAATGAGAATAACATAAACTAGCTTCTTAACGTTGTGGAGCCGCTACTCAGATAAACAGACAAACCCAGGGGAAGGCTGCATGCCTTTCTCTTTGGCTTAGGGCTTAACAACCATCTCAACAAATCCCCGGTTATTTTTCTCTGCAGCAACAAACCATCATCAGAAACAGTAGGCCACGCATGCATGTTTTTGAAAAAGAACACATGAAGTTCTGTCAAGACACAGGAAGACGATTCTGACTATGGCCTTTGTTGTGACAATGGGTGAGGCCAGGCAGGGTTACAAGCACAGCTTGGTTAGTACTGAGGCAAGTGGTGAGTTTATATACTTTCTAACTTTTAGTAGTAAAAGAAGTGATTCTACAGTTTCACTTCTGAACATCAGTTGTGCAGAAGGTTCTAGGCTTAGCATCTCTATCTACTACTATTGAGGTTTAAAGCTAAAGAGAAAATTTTACAAACCGGAGGAGGCGGAAGAGGACATGACTAGACTCTGAGCAGAGTTCTCAGCTGATAAAAGTGGGCACGTGGCATAAAGAGAGGCTTCTCATGAGCAGGTTATACTTCAAAACACTTTACATTTTTATTAACTCTAATTCCCAGTAAAAGTAATCCTGAATCCAAGATTTTCACTCTGATCTGACTTCTCCTTTCCCATAAGGTCTTCAGCCAGAAGTAGCAGGATGATTAAAGAATGGAAATGGGTCAAGAATGAGACGGATGAAAGAATGGGGTATCAGCCTATGACAAGCAATCCAGAAAACTAGGGGCCTAAGACTTGAGATTTGCTCACAGAGAAATTTGGGAGGCATGGCCCTGACTGCCGACTCTCACAGCTACAGCTTGCATTATTATGAACATATTGGTTAAGTTTTTGTGAACTGATAAAAATCTCTTCTCAAGGTAATGCTTTCTCAGATCATCAACAACAGTCCCCTCTCAGTCTCCAAACAAGCTTAGAGTAAATGTTCAGCTGTCAAAGACTGTCTGCAAACCTTGTGCAGGAAACCTTCCCAAAGGTAAGCTCACACTCTCACATGCACACACCCTGTTGTAACAGCTTAGTTCCCATTTCACTCCTCAGCCATTACAGAGGGGTTTCTTAGGGTTCTGGCAGCAGTGATGTAATGGGTTTGGGCTGACAACCTTTCCACTAGGGTAAAAACAGTGACTGGAAATGGTTGATATGCTAATTCTTCTAACCACTCAGACTTAGGCCTTCCCGGATGATTGACAGGAATTAGAAAGATGTTGCCATAATGGAACTTTAGAAGCCAAAACATTATTTACCAGTTAGCTACAAAGTCTGACTCTCTGGCTATTTGAGAACCACCCTACCTTAGATATTTTTTTCTTTCTAACATACAGTTCTGTTTCTTCTGGTTCTTATCTACTTTATTTTATTTCTCACCACCTGAATTATTATATTGCAGGAGTGATAAAAGCAAAGTGCTGTAACTCAGACTGGGCCAGAGCTTATTAACATGCTCTGAACACCCTGGCCTCTTAACTACTGTGGGAGCCAAATCAGTTCGAAAAATAGAACAAGACTGAATGAATGCTGGCCTGGATTGAATGAATGCTGGCCTTGTGGTGTAAAAGCATGAGGACATGTCATGAGCTTTCCTTACTCTGTTAAGCAAAAACAAAAGTTGCCCCTCTCTGGACCTAAAGTCTGCCCAAGGCAAAATGGCAGGACAGCTAGGTACCCCAATTTGTAGTGTTTGGGTAGCATTAGAACATTCCTGTGCTCTGCACCCATTCATGCAACCCTGACCAATCTTTATAATCCCATCATAATACTCCGTTTTCTGTAACCACAGGATATATCAAATGTTAGTTCTGAGTCCATGGAGATGCAATGTGGCAGCAGCTGACTACACCTCTGCCTATGAATGAATATACTTGTAAGTCAAAGCCCCCAATATGGTGCCTGAGCTCTTTGAAACCCATAAGGGTAAGGGGTAAGGGGTTAGTGGCAGTGCTTGCAGTGGGGTAGTCTGTAGCAGCATAGACTCAACTACAATCTGTTATCTGATAAAGTTCATGGCTCCATCTACAGAACCTGAAGAAACAGCTACTTTTAATAGTACAGTACTGAATATTACCTAACACAAGTGAGTTTCCCCCTTTATATAGCCCTTCCCCCTTTTTTATTAAATAATTTTGCCCAAATCTGTTTACATGCATTAAGAAAGTCAGGAGCCACCACCATAAGGGAAGGCCCTATCCTGACTCCTGACTGGGAAACCTGCAATATTCAGCTAGGTTTCTTTTGCATACCAAAGCACTTGCTCAGATTGGTCTGTTTGTCAATGAAGACTTTAGCAGAGATAACATTTCCAAAGGGCATGAACATCTGCAGAATGTCCTGGTCTCCAAACTCCTGTGGAAGGTGGTAAATAAAGAGGTTTGCCCCCTCTGGACCTAAAGAGGAAGAAAAAATCAGAGTAAGGTATCCCCCAAGTCTTAGTCCCCAAAGCCTCTTCCTAGCAATAGGCAGACTTTAGCAATAGGCAGACTGACCATTTTGTTTTCTCTTAAGAAGCAGAAGGATAAATCCAAGTGCTGGCATGATATGTAGAAAAGCATTCATCCTTCAGCTTTTTCTAGTTGCCAGAGAGGGGGCTACAAATGGCTATTTTTTTTTTTTTTTTTTTTTTTTTTTTTTTATCGGATCACTTGTGCTCCTGCACACTCTCTCCATGGGGGTGAGGCAGTAGCAGCAGGCAGAATAGGGACAAAATTTCGGCATGGGTTACTCTTGGCTGGCCATGTTTTATGTGTAGACTATCTCCTAAAGTAGAAGAGAATGTTCTTTGCATTCTAAGCAAATTGCAGCAATTTAGAATAATGAATCTAGCAGTAATGCTGCTCAGATTGTTCAATCAGTTGCCTGGGTGCCCAGCCAGTTTTGATTTGCCAAATCTCTGAACACACAGTGTAATAATCATCTTTATTAGAAATGACTGGCAGTGAGTCAACACTGGGGGAAAAGGTAGCTAGAGTCCTACAACTTTAACAGGAATCGTAGCACTGAGCATTAGCCTTGGGAGTAAGTGAGGTGGATGCAAAGGCCTCTCCAAAGCTGAGTTACACCAGGCTCTTCTCTTTGCCCTCCGTTTTCTAGCAAACACCAGAAACCAGGTGGAAGGTCTTCCTTAGCCATGTTTGGTCAGACAAGCTTTCTTAAGCCCCTCTCCATTTCACTCACTGAACTCTCCACCCACCTGTCCTTAAAGAGCGGTGTGAAAGTTAAAAGACCGAGAAAGAAGGGGATGCAAACACACCGGATAGAGAGAGGTCAGGCGGGGGGGAAAAGGAGTTCACGACACTGGGGAAGTCACTTCTGCTGCTGCTGTCACAGGAGAAGGAGCTGGGCCTACCTGCCTGTCCCATGTGGAGCTCCAGGGAATAGGCTGCCGTGGGCTTCCTACAGATGGGGGAGGGTGATTTATGTGTGAGGTAAAATGGGGAGAAAAGGGATTTTGTAACAGAATGGACAGGCACATCTTTGCAAAGAAATATCCCGTCTTATTTGCTTACTCCATAAAATAAATAATTGAGGGCTGGAGAGATGGTTCAGCAGTTAAGAACACTGGTTGTTCTTGCAGAAGACCCGGGTTCGAATCCCAGCACCCACACGGCAGCTAACAACTGTCTGTAACTCCAGTCCCAGGGGATCCGACAGCTGCTTCTGTCTGCTTCTGCCGGGCATTGCACGACATGGGTGCACTTACCTACACGCAGGCAATACACACATACACATTAAAATAAAAGTAATAAATAAAAATTTTTTAAAAAGTTTAAAAAAAATAAATAAATGAAGAATGTGTCCAAGGCAAACTACTGAAGCCTGAGATGTAGTTATCTCTTCCTTAAACCATGTCTATATAACTATGTTGCTCACAAATTCTATGGATATGTCTCTAGTCCTGGGCAAGGGAGGCAGCCTACTTTAAAGGGTGACCACTAGAGTTTATACAGACCCTTAAATGTTTTCTGATTTTAAAATGAATATATACAAAAACCACGACATCAGAAACTTCTGTTCTGAGTGCTAATGCGCCTTGTATATTGGTAATATATATACACACACATATGCTAATCCAGTGTGTACCGCCAGATTTAATGTTCTTTTAAAATAAAAGATTCAAATACCCCAAGATGGATTAATAGGGTCCAATTTTCATTGTAAGGAATGCCGCTTCTTCTGAAATGAAAATATGATTTTAATGCACAGGACAGACTGCTTATGCCTGAATGACTCAGGCAATCCAGAACGCTGTACTCTGAATGTGTCCAGGCTAGAAAGAGGAAGCCCACAAATAACTAGACAGACAAAGGAGGCACTATCCTTTTTCATCACTTTTTCAGAGACAAATCTTCTGGTTCCCCTTCTCTGGTGTCCCATGTAGGAAGCAGTTTTATCTTTCGACCCTTCCACATTTTTAGCATTAAATGAGACAAAAGAAACAAAAACCTTCCTTGTATGCAACTCAGGCGGCTAATACCAAAACAAAAGTACACACACACACACACACACACACACTCACACTCCCTCCTCAATCTCTAAAAATAACAAAAGCCTGTCTACAACTCACCCTTTTGTCCAATTTCTCCTAACCCATCACCTTAACTGGGAGTTGTATTACACTGCCGGTGCCCACCAGTTGGTTGATTGGTTGTATTGTGTATTTCTCACAGGGTATCTGATGTAGCACAAAACCCTGATGTATCTACTAGAACAAAGTTGGATCAGGCTAGCAGTGCCCACTGGCCTCTCTCTGCGAACCTGGGGGCCCTGACTACTCACTCACACGTGTATAACTTGCCTCCTGCAAATGAAGGGAGATCGGATGGATGTATGAGAGAGGCCAGAGGATGCTCAAGATGGTGAAAGGTGACAGGCTTTCCTGCATTTAGGGATACCACAATCCTTCAGAAAGTTTAGTTATGGAAAACATTAATTTAAACCATTTCTTTGCAAAGTCCAAATAATTCATTTTCCTGTGGTATAAAAAATAGACCAAAGTACAAGACTAAATACCTCAGGGTTCCTTCCAGTTCTTCTGACTAAACGGCAGAACAAGGACAGAACTGTGCATTAGGGAATCAAAAAATCCATTTAATACCAGAATTGTTTTCTCTCTTCTAGGTATAATTTGCCTTTCAAATTACACTTTACTTCAATGGTAGATGGATTATATTGACATCAACTGGGTGAGGAGGTGATCAGAAGAGCAGCGTGAGAGGGTGAGAGGTGATGAAAATCAAACAAAAACCCAACACAATAACAAGTCCAAACCTACTACCAGCACCAGAACTAAGCAAAAAGCCCTAAAACATATCCCTGGTAGCCCACACCCCTCAGTTACAAGTTGACTATCAGATTCCTACAATTAAGGTAAAGAAGCTTACAGCAGCAGGCTATGGTGAAATAACTGGAAAAATTTGATCCTTAAACCACTGAATTTTTATTCTTTTGCTGGCAAATGATTTCTGAGTGACACAAGTTGTATGGTTCCCAGTAGATCCATGCTAGGAAAGGAGAGAAGACCAGTGTGCTCTAGAACCTTGCAGGGGTTGGCTCCACGGCCTCTGAGAAGACAGTTCTCTTGCCTCACTTGTCACAGTGGCGCTGAGATCCTCAAGGGACTAAGGAAATGCAGGCCTTCTTAGGGAAGACCGGTGGTGTCCCTTTCACATACCTGGTGAATGAACCACAGCTGCCTGAACAGCTGTGCATGCCTGAAAACCCTAGGAAAGCGGTCACAGTGCGGAGTGAAGAGGAAGTTGGAGTGATGGAGCTGACCTAGAGTTTCATGTGTTTTTCTTCTTTTAATGATCATTGTGCTATTTGTCAAAGGCAGAATCCTTTTCTTTTTTAGAAAAAACTCATGGGTATTTTTAAGTTGTGTCCTCTTAAAAATCTTAACTTTGCAGAGTAAAGGAAGTGCTCTTGACAGAACACTGTCTTTCAAATTAACATTTAAGCAAAAGTGGTTTCAAACTATGGGGTGAGGGCAAAAGAGAAGGAAAGGAGCTAAAATTCTAAAAAATTCTCTGCTCTACTTCTTTCCCCATATTCTAACCCAGTCGGAAAGAAAACAGTGTGTTGATGACTGCTTTAAAGCAACTTAGTTAATGAAGGAGAAATGAAAACAGTGGGGCACGGTGGCGCACACCTGTAACCAGAATCAGGAGGCCGAGGCTGAAGGAGCGTCACACATTCAAGGGCAGTGTGAGCTGTACAGTGAGAGCCTGTCTCAAACAGACCAACCAAAAGGACTTCACTTGGACTAGGACATTAACCATTTTCTGAATTTATCCCGCCTTATGGGCAAGACGCCAGGTAATTCATCACCTCCTTTCTTTCCCTGAAGACCCTGCCTGAAACCCTAATCATAAGCAGGTAAGTCGTTCCTAACTGAACTGCATCACCGTTTGAGCGGCACCCTTTACCGAGGGGCGGCCCCACAACTGCAGCGCACAGGGACCCTGGTAACCAGGGGAATTCAGAGGAGAGCTGCTTCACCCACACTTGTTGGTCCCCCTACTAAGTTTCTCTGCGAGGGGATAGGCAGGGTTCATGCAGAGGAGGGAGAAGTTGTTCCTGGCATTTTCTGATGGCAGCAACTAGGACATCACTCCCTGTAAACATGATAGACGAGAACGTCCTCTTAAGAGAGGAGTGAAAGATTAAGAGGGAACTGCAGTGGGGTGGACGGCTCATACCTGAGAGCTTTTCTTTTAAAACGAGCACCAGAAATTAAACAGGCGATTTCTTTTAGGACACCAGTTTCAAATCAGTGTCTCCTGGGTGTGCTCTAAAGGCAGATGGAGTTGTGCTGGCCCCGCCAGGCCCTGCCCTGGGGCACCTACCTTCCTTCTGGCTGCCTGCAGCACTCTGCTGTTGCAGCAGGCTCTGGCTATACAGAGTGGGCAATGCAGCTGCCGCATACTGCTGAATTCCTGAGTAGGCCTGGGTGAGGGCGTCCATGGTGCCAGCCGTGCCATTCGTCAAGCCTGTGGCGCCAAGTCCTCCATTCAGAGCCGCCATACCTGAGAGCATTTGAGCAACTTTACAAAAAACCCAACAATAGAGAAGAGAAACAGCACTTATTCATTAGTGCTTCCAAAGGGGGTCAGAGAATCATTTGACATAGTACAACAGCAAATCATGCAGCGAGCACACCAATTAAACCAACAGAAAGCCAAAACAATATACTACGAAGAAATAAACCACAATAACATGACAAAAAGATAAAAAAACAAAAACAAAACTCAGCAATGGTAACTCCCCCTCCCTGGGCTAGCGGTCAAAATGCACTGAAGCCCTGCAGTAAGACAGAACACCTCAACTTCATGCAATGTGCTACTGGCAAGTACCATCGCTATCTTTTTGAAATACATGTCTTCTGTTTCTTAGATCTTATAAGCATGTAAAAGAAAACACAAAACAAAAACTTTAGTGGTCAAGGCCTATAGCATCTATATAACTGATATCCATTACTAAGCCCTTTGTGGGGAGAAGATGCTGGGATGGCTCAGAAATTTGAGCTGCACGGATAAAACTTTTCCCTTCAAACTGTGCGATGAGGCAATGGTAAAGCAGACAAGTTGTGAGTTCTAGATCCCAGTGAATCAGCAGTGCCTCTGACTGTCTTTCCTCAACAGTCAAGGGATGTCATGAGGGGCTGGAACCTCAGAAATACCTAGCTGATTTAGAATCAAGGAACAGTAGAATGGCTCCAGCTGCTTAGTCCTTATCCAAGGCATATGCACAAGCACCGATATTAACCAGTCTTAGGTAATGAAAGAGCTTCAAGCCATGTTTTCCAATGAACTGGAGTGGCACCGTGTCTAGAAGCTGGATTCTGGCTACAGCTGAGGGGATCTGGATGTGGACCAACTGCTCTTGTGATTTTGTCCGTGTATCTCGGTTCCTCTAGTCTTGTTGCGGACTGTGTCACATTTTCCTCACATATGGAGCCCAAGCAAGCAATGCTTCATAGACTAGTAATTTCCTACGAACTTAGTAAATGACGACACAATTGCTTTGATTTCTCTTATGATTAAAAAGGATTTTAAACAGATCTATTTCTAAAAAGAATTTATTGAAAACAATGGTAATCTTGATGGGGTTAGGGTTACTAATGAGAAATGTTAAAACAGCAATGATGACTAACTGAGGAAAAACCTGGTAGAGTCTGAGAAAAGCCAAGGCAAGGGTGCAAACACACAGAGGAACCAGGTATGGACACGACTCAGGACTCAGCAGGGTCACCCGCTGCCCGCCGGAAATGTCCTATCTGCTTACATTTCTTTGATGAGGCTCTTTTAGACTAAGGCTTGCTAATTAGACCATAACTTAGCAGCGAGGACTCGCCCAGTGCTTTGAGTTTGGGATTCCTACTCAGGGTGAGGCTTGAGGAGACAAAGCTCAGGGTTGGGAAGCTGTACAATGTAGTGTCTTCACAGAGGCAGGGGAGGGAGGGAAGGCAAGTTTGGAGGGCTCAAGACTGAAATACTGGCCCTTGGAGAAAGGAAATAATTTCAAGCAATTCAAGTACAGAGCTAAGAGGTGCTGGCCAGAAGAGGTCCTGCTGGACCCGCTCTAAGTTCTTATTTGAAAGAAGTCTGTTCTTTTTTTTTTTTTCCGGTCATGCAAATAAGTACTGTTAAAGGGCTTAGAGACAATTTGTTCTCCTAATTACTCTAAATGATCCCTCAGACACTAACTAATGACATTTACCTTACTGTGCCTTTTCTTCCTGACCATTCCCGTTATTATTATGGCTGCCAAAGGACTGGAAAATAATTTCTCTTTTCCCTCTTTGGTCGTATTTCATTCTAACTTCTTAGTATTCATGTGATGCAAAGAAACCCCCATGCTCCTTTCTGGGAGGGCTAGAGAAGTGTGTTAAATGACCTGGGAAGGGGTTAGACACTTGAGTGGTTCAAGCTATATAAAAGGTTAGGGATACAGGCCATCAAGTTGTAGACTCAACTCTCTGGAAACTCAATTCCTTCAAAGGAGGGAATTTAGAAGAAAAGTGAGCAATGACTTGCCTTTCTGCCCCAAGCTGTGTGGTCCAAGTGTGAACAGCAGCCTTCAGAGCTCTGTATAGCCCAGCTGCTTGACATGGATGGACTGAGGCCTAAGCTCCACTCTGATGAATACTTCCAAATCTACAGAATGGATGATAGGGCCACATCTCCACCATGGCTCATCAGATGAGGGTCTTAGAGTTTCCATATCCTGTCGTGTGAGTCTCATACAAGGACCCTTGGTGGTCTGTAGTTTATGACTTAGAGTCTCCAGGGGGCTAGATAGATAGGTGGGGCTTACTGCAGTGCTCGCTGGTAATTCTATCCCTCTTTCCCTCTGGTGTGTGACCTTTTTTGTCTTTGAACTTTTTCCCTCATTTTGTTACCTTAAAACAGAAACAGAATGAACTTCATACTCTTGAAATACTGAATGTTTCAAGACTGAAAAGAACCTTGTGAGGCCTGTAACTTTAGCAAGGGACATTCCAGCTCTGCTCCTCTATCCTGGGTCATACTTCATAGTGGCTGGCTGTGTTCTTGGACTATATTATAATGAAGATCTACTTTCGGAAGGCTTTGCTTGCTTCTGCTGCTGCTGTGTGTGTGGAAGAAAAGTGCTAGCCTTATATGCCTGGGGAAGGTTGCAGAGAAGGCACTGAGGAGACAGAGTATCAATGCCAAAATGGGGGGACTAGTCAGGGACCTGTGCAGATCAAATATGTTTGGTTTCCCCAGCCTAAGGCCTTCCTCTTCTCTTGTATAACAATTGTGAACAGGGAATAAGGATCAAAGTTCTTTTTTTAAAAAAATATTTTGTTTTTTATTATTCTATGTGTATAAGTGCATTGCCTGCATGCATGAAAGTGCACCCGTGTTGTGCAATGCCCATGGATGTCAGAAGAGGGCGTCCGATCCCTTTGAACTGGAGTTACAGACTGTTTTCAGTCATCATGTGGGAACTGGGATTTGAATCCAGGTCCTCTGCAAGAGCAGTCAGTGCTCCTAACTACTGAGCCATCTTTCCAGTCCCCCGTAAGGGTAAAAGTTCTATCAAACACAAGTACACTGAGAATATTTAAACCGTCTTGAAAAATCTGGAGAAGTATTGGTCAAATCCAGGGAAAAGCAGGTAAAGGATTACGCAGAAGAATTTTTCAACTTTTGAGAGTAAGTTCTGTAAATTACCTGAGGTTACTCTATAAATAATCATGGTATCAAAGTCAATTAACCAACTTAGCTGCTTTTAGAGTACCTCTAAAAGCCATGGATAATAGATGCAGAGGCTTTTAGAAAGTTGAATTGGGTAAATATTTACACTTAAAAGAATAGGGATTTTCTTTGAAAGAGCCAAATAGATTGATCATTTCCTCTTATTAACCTAGATTTCCATGCATGCTATTTGGATGAGGACGGTTGGACGAAATGACAGGTGTGGCAAATCTCTGCAAGGAAGGTCTGGGTAGCTGGTCTGACAATACAGTTGGTATGGAGCCTGACTACTAAGTCCTTTCTTTATACTTAATTACTCTTTAGAGGTCTTCAACTGACAGAGATTAAGGAGCTGTGACATTACTAAGTCTGTTAAAATTACAGACACTTCCATAAATAGGAAAAATTTTTGATTACTATGGAGATGGCAGTGAAAAGCAGAACCAGGGGTGTACAAAAGTAGGCCATGTTTATTTGCAAGCTACTCTTCTAGGTGAAATGCCATAGAAAAAGAGAGAGCGAAGTAAGGAATAGATGAGATTACATTCAGTTTAAAGACCTCCTTACTAGGGTGAGATTTCCTTTACACAGGTGAAGGGTACCTTGCTGAGCTGCATGCTAATACATGAGCATCTGGGTAAAGTGTTCGGAACGGGGGGAGGGGAGCATAAACACAGCGAGCTGTACCTTCACGCATGCCTCTGTCAATGAGATTACAAATATATGTGTGTTTGGGGGGGTGCTTATGGACACAGCTGCATTCACCTTTCCAAAATGATAGCAGATGAAAACAATGATTCTACAATGCAAAGAAAGAGTAGTAACAAGCTGCAGTAATGTGCTCAAAGCCCCTTGCCTATTTCTACTTAAAATAGTTTCAAAACCAATTTTCATCAGGTGTTTATGAGTAGTTACAGTCAAACAATCATAGTTTAAGCACTATATAGTAAGCTATGTGAAAGAATTCTACGATTTAAATGAGGCAAAGTAAGGATGCCACTCCATTTACACTTAGAAACATCAGGTATTGGCTCACAGGAGGGCATATCTGCACAGAGTATTTTCTCAGCTTGCTTTAGTCCTCAGTCTCCAGATGAAAGCCCTAAACGGCCCATGTTCCTTCTGATCTTGCTGATGCCCTTCTGGGAGCCGTTCCCTTCTCCCCTACCTCCTTCTCCCCCTCCCTCGTTCTCTCCTCCTTTCCTTCCCCCTCTCTTCCTTTTTAAATCTCCTTCATTCATTAATGTACAAGGGGAGGGAAAGGATGTCAAACAGTTTAACTTGGCTACTCATCTATGAACCCCAAACTCCTTTTTAGAGAGGGGTTGGCCCTCCGGCAGGGAAGAGGATCAAATCTAGGCTAAGACGAGTCATCTGCCTACTTTCTTTCTGGCTGCTTTGTCTGTGAAAAGCATCTGGGTCTCTTCAGTAAACCAGGATCCCCTCATTACTGTAGCAATGCCACCACATAGTAGTCATTCCTTGGGCGGAGTTGGGGAGGAAACCATGTGGAAGCTGTCTCCAACCCTTTTAGGAGCTGAAGGTTCAGATAACCATTTCCTGATTATCTTGAGAGAATTATCTACAACAGGGTGCATCATGATTTCTGTTGAAGAATTATCTGAGAGGGTACTCCACCCTAGAAGTGTTTCCCTTGATATTTAATCTCAGACAAGCATCAAATACTATCTTCAAGTCAATGTTGATATCAAAGAGGTTTATACTAGCAACACATTAAGTGAGAAGGAATGAATTTCCATTTGTGCATAATTTTTGTTTAAAGATTTCCCCCCGGTTTACACTGACTAATAGGTAGGGATATATTAAATGAAGGGTTTTTTTTTTCTTTTTTTTTTTCAGTTTACCAGAAGCCTCTATTAACCCAACTGCAAAGAATTAAAAGAAGCAACTCAATTTAAATCTGTTGTCCTTGCCAGAGCAAACTTTGTATAATGTAAGATCCCACAAAAGAACTAGCTGTGGTTTCTCTGTTCTTCAACAAAGTCCCCTTGGGTCTTTACAACAAAGTGAGGGGAGCCCAGCAACAGACAGCAGAGCAGGGTGGAAAGGCGGAGGACACAGACACAGGACACACACAGCAATCATGAGCACGTGCTGAGGAGGACAACCATTCCCACTGGCCTGTTACTCTGCAGACCAAGGACAGGCAGGCGATCAAATCAAAGTCCTTGTTTGAGGGGAACTAGGTCCTGGGGCAAGAGAAGCAGCATGAGGGATGTGTGAGCACACGCAGCCTCAACTAGGTGAAGGGCAGTGGGCGGTGCTTCAGAGACAGGAGCTGTACCCGAAACAGGACTCAAGGCCTTGAGGCTCCTATGTGGCCGCTGGAAAATGTAAAGGCTGGAGGCAGTTTTAACTGGAATAAAACATTCTGGCTATTACAAGGTTACCAGGTCAGGTACTATATGCTAATTAAGAGCCATGACATGTGGAAGGAAAACATTTGTTCTTTATGGTCAGATAAAATGCAGTCCAGGTTTTTGTTTGGTCTTCCCAGAACGTCTGAATCAAAAGGCTGAAAATTATCTACTTCTTAAAACATGATTTATTTTACCAGGATTATACAAGTTAATCTTCATGCGGATGCATTTTGGACTCTTTAAAAGAATTTTTTTTATCTCTGTCTCTGTCTCTCTGTGTGTGTGTGTGTGTGTGTGTGTGTGTGTGTGTGTGAGCATGCATATCACAGTGTGTGTATAGAGGTCAGTGGAGTCTGTTTTCTCCTCTACCAGGGAACTTTAGTCATCATGCTTGGTAGCAAGTGCTGATACCTGCTGAGCCATTTTGCTAGCCCAATTCTGATTTTTTTTTTAAAAAAACCAAATAAATTTGCAAAATATTATTCTTTTCAGTTTAAAAAAATATGGTCTGATCACTCATTAGAAACATTTTACTACTTATTGAATCATAGATTAAAGGAGGGTAAGTGGCCAGGACCCATTTATTAGAAATGCAAACAGGAGGCGTTGGGCTGCCTGGACTGTATGGCAGTCAATGGGGTCGGTCCACACTCAGAAGCTCCACTAGCTGTCATGGACGGCCTAGGTGTGGCTGTCTGGGGCAACCGGGGGGACCAGATGGGTGGACAGGCACATCAGAGGTTATCTTTGTGGCTGGGGCTCAGTGTCCTCAGTGCAGAAGCCCACACCAAACATGAGCCTAAAGTGTGCCTCATCCTCTGACCTGGGCACTATTTCCCATATGCATCTGAACAACAGAACAGGAACAGGTTGGCTGTGTGGGGGAGACAGCAGAGCACTTTCTTAATGAGTCAGTTTGTTTCAGTCACGTGTGCTTTGGTAAGATACTTGCCCAGGCCTGTGCTGGCTGCCACAGGAGAACGACGCCCCTTCGCGCCATTGTGGCAGACGGCCTGCGTCTCTACAGAATCTAGTTGTCTTCCCAGTGTTGCCCCTCTGCCTCACTTTTTGTTCCTGGCTTTCCAAATCCCCCCGCCCCCGCCACATTATTATTTAGAATCTCTGCATTTTCAAACTGGAGGACACCTTTAAGAGTTTTTTTGATCCAGAACTTCCGATTTTCCAAAGCAGGCTGTGTATCCCAGAGAGGGAGCTGCTATTTGACTGGGCTCTCACACTTGGTTGGCAGGAGAGCTGTACACATGCTTCCCAACTTTACTCCAAGAACTTTCCTATTATAACACCCTGCCTGGCAGTAAGACTGAGGAAAACCAAAGCAAACCAGAGTCCTTGAAACCTGCAACTGCCTGTCAAACCCTAGCAATCTGTGAGTGCAGACGGATATTACACACTGAACAAAATCTAGGGGTGTCATGTGATTGGGTATCTTTTGAGATAAAACAGATGTGGAAAGCTTCTGTCTGTTAAGGCATGTGCTCCTCCATCCCAAGTTTTAGTTCTCCTTGCTTCGTGTCCCTTTCAGGTCAATTCTGACTGACCATTTTCTGGAGAATTTGGGGGAAGGCTGTCCACCAGAGCAGCAAATACTCACTGTTTATGGTACCTGCTAGTGCATTAATATTGTTCAATCCGACAGTGGCTCCAGCCAATCCTTGCAGAGTCCCAAGAGAGGTCAAGGAATTCATGGCTGCACCAGCAGTGGAATTGGGGGTTGAAGCAGCCACTGAAAAAGAGAAGAGGGAGACAGAGAGCAAAGGTGAGTTAGGGTCAGCTACTGTCACCACAGCGGGCTGTAAGGTCTGGATCCTGTACTTGGGGCCCCTTTGCCAATTAGATTGAAAAACTCACGTAGTGGGCTGGATGTGGAGCTTAGTGGTGCTTGGCCTCACTGAGCAAGGTGCTAAGTTCAGTCCCTACCACTGCACTCCCCACCCGTAACATGGCTCATGGCTGTTTCCTGAGGGAATCTGGACTATCCTATTAGTTAACCAGACCGTACAAGTCCTCGGTCCTCTTAGCCTTGTTGTCTGGGCTGAAGAATTACTCAGACTGGCAGAGGTGAGGGACTAAATGGTGTCAGCCTCCTTCTGGTTCTGTCTCAGCACTGGCATCTTCTCAGTGGTTTGGAAAAAAAAAAAAAAAGTTATGCATCATCTAACTTTAACAGGAAACTTACTCCAAACCAGGTGGTTGGAGCAATAAAGGGATGATATAAGTTTTTATGTAGAGATACGTTTTTAAATCTCGAGTATATACCTAGGATTGAAACTGCTGAGCCATGTAGGAAACCAGTCTAATATTGTTTGAAGAACTGTCTAATGTTTTCCAAAGTGATTTCCCCAAAATGTTTTTTTTTCCCCAAATTATTTCCAAGGTAGTTCTCTAAAGGGTATTCCTTCTGTACCTTCAGATAATATTTCCAAGTGTGCCTTTTCAGATACATTAGAACTAATTGGATGGATCTAGAAACTGTTATACTAAGTAACACAGACTCAGGAAAACAAATGACATACATTCTCCCTTATATGTGGCTCCTAGCACTAAATCCTTTTAAATTCCAGGTCCTTTTAATAAGATGCTATACAGCAGTCCCTTCTGCATGAAATAACTACCATCATCACAACTTTGGCTGAGCCTGATTGCTGAACATAGTCACAACTGGGCTTGTTGACAGTTGTGCTCATTCATTAAAGGAGTGCCAAGCAGGGTCACTGGACCCGCACCTGAGTAT